AAAAATAAAATAAGATAAAAACAGAGAGAGAGACAAACCATAAGAGACGCTGAACTCTGGGAAACAAACTGAGGTTGCTGGAGGGGAGGGGGCTGGGGGCTGCGGTAACTGGGTGATGGGCATTAAGGAGGGCACGTGATGTAATGAGCGCTGGGTGTTATATGCAACTGATGAATCACTACATTCTACCCCTGAAATTAATTAAAAAAAAAAAAAAAAAGAATTGGGCTGACACTGACCTAGAAAAGCCATCCTGACTGCCCTTTTAGAATTTAATTCACCTTGTGCTTTTGCCCCCCTAATTTCTTAGGGACTAGAAATTATAACTTTTCAGAATTAGAAATAAAATAAGTTGTAAGAGTGATGGGGGAAAAGATGGAAGGAGTACAAGAGAGGAGAAGGTATTATATTTAAAATAAATATTTCCTGATTATAAAAGAAAATTTAGAACAACAGACTAGAATAAAACAAAAAAAGGGCTGGAACATTCTATCCTGTCCTACAAACCATGCACATCTGTGAGATGTGTTTCCTTCCAGTTTTCTGGCAATGCATGTTATTTTCCAGTGGTTGTTATTGGCATCCTTACCAAATTTGGGGGCTCCTTTTTCAATGTAATATTATCAAATAATTGTCTTATGTTAAAACATTTTGGTGATGGCATAATAGTTCATCTTATAGATGCTGCCTAATTATTGAATCATCCCAATGTGGTTGGATGTTGTCCTGTTTCTTTCCTTCTTGTGTGTGTGTGTAGGCGCGCGTGCGCGCGTATGCATGCTTGGCCTGAGCCTGACACACTTTACTCTTAGAGGGGCCCAGCGGCTGATCATCAGAAGGAGGTCATGCTAGTGTGTATGATGAGGCTCCAGGTTAGCAAATGTTAAATCCTAGGCACAGGCCACACCCCAGGGCCCTGGAGGAAAAGCATGAAATGGGGAGCCAAGGCTTGGATCCTTAGGACGAGCAAAAGAACAGAACAGTCATCCAGGGTACCCAAGAGAAAAGGCAGTTCTCCCTGAAGACCCCTGATTCCCGCCCCCACTCACCGGTCATGCCCACGGTGGACACGGGGCCGTCGCGCTGTCCCCTGTGCAGGCCATACAGGTGCATCTTGTACTTGCGCCCCGGCTCCAGGCCCCCGATGGTGACCTCACTCTCGTCACCCCCGACACGCACCACCTGGGGCCGCCCGTCCCCGTCCTTGTACTGGACACTGAAGGAGTCGAAGTGGCCCTGGGGGACGGTCCAGGAGAGGCTCAGCGAGTCTGGGGAGGATCCTGTGACCGTCAGCTCCCCCAGGACGGGCTCCTCGGGGGGCTCCGGGGCCTCTGTGCTGGGTTCTGTGGGGCTGGGCGTCTCCTCCACAAGGTCCTGGGGGGCTGAGAGAAGACATGGGGATGGAGGCTTAGTAGTCAACTCTGCTGCTCATGTCAGGAGGACAACAAGGTGCAGCAGTCCATTCCTCCAGCTGTGGAGCCGAGTCTGAGCACCTGGGGGTTAGCCGGCTGGGAACTACCGAGCTCACGCTGAGATAGGCCCCGATCCCCTTCACACACTGGTTAGCTGGCACCAGAAGGTAATTCAGATGTGTGTATAGGAGCCACAATAATCCCATTATTTGACCCAATAATCCCATTGGGCAGCCGTCCTAAGAAAATTATGAAAAAGTTGCGCCATGGGAGTCTGTTGTGGGATTATTTGTGACAGCAAAATGTGTCAGGGACCCAAATGGTCCCGAGAAGATGATTCACTTTGCGATGGCACTTTCACCATGCAGTGTCAGATCACCATTAAATGATGATTAATGCCGGGTCTGTGGCCTCAAAATAAATGCTCACAATGTAACTTACGTACAAAAACAAAGGAAGAGCCAAGAATTGTCTGAACGCTCTGCAGCTTGAGAACATGCACTGGATGGAAAGCTAGGGAGAGCCTGTGCTATGGGTATTATTATTAATGGCACTTACTGTGTCCAAAGGTGTTCTGATCGGTTTTTCCCCCTATTTTTCAAATATTCCACAATGTTGATACTCGTTTCCCCAGAATAACGTGTACTGAGAAAGAAACCCTGGACTCTAAAAATTAATAATCTGGTGGGGGTTGTGGAGAAGGCTGTGGGTTCCTTCAGCTGCCCTCCTTACTTTGTGTGTGCTTGTGATCCACTGTGACAGACAGTAACAACATTGAACAGTGGATGAGCATTACGGCTTTCCCTCAGGGTGGGAGCTGTTCTAATGTCTATTTTCTCTTTTTTAAAGATTTTTTAGGGGCGCCTGGGTGGCTCAGTTGGTTAAGCGACTGCCTTCGGCTCAGGTCATGATCCTGGAGTCCCGGGATCGAGTCCCACATCGGGCTCCCT